ATCTGTGCGCAAATAGTGGCTGCGACCGTCCCCATTATCCTAGGACAGCTTTTTGTTTTATGTTTGTTGTAACACGTTGTTTCAACGACTCCGTACACACACCGTGAGTTTGTGCAAGTTAGAGTAGGAAATTTACTCAAGACGGCTATTTCGAATCGCTATCACAAAATATAGTAATATAGTAAAATTTGCCGTTACCGAGTTTTGGCAAGAAGCCGACGATATCCACTGTAATAGCTGTATCGGCTGCGAATTTCTCTGCGGTTCAATTTCCGTGTATGAAATAGTATTGGAGAGTATACCAGTATACCTCTGGATCCCTAATTTCGGATTTACGCGTACAATTGTATGTGAATCCGTTGATTTTGGGTAGTCGTTTACTAAACATATATGTACGCACATTAAAGATGTACGCGAGATTTTAGTTTATCGTCACCAGAATGCCGTAGAAAAAAAAATGAGAGCGAGTAAAAAATCTCCATAGCAGACATTCCGCTGAGCCTATAGTACCTGTCAGATTACGGTTCACTTTCAAACTGTAGTCCCATACGTTTGTTTACACCGTTTCATCCACATCGTGGTTCGAGTGAATATATTACTCAATTCGTAGTTTTGGCATAAATTTTAAAACATTAATTCATAATATTACGCGATCGTTCGTTAGAAACTGAGAAAATTATGACAATGTGTCGGTGGTAGTGTAAGGTGGTGTTTGATGTGTGTTTATACATAAGTGGAATATAATTTCCGACCTGTTTACCCGATAACCCGTTTTAGGTGCCCATACGTTTATTCACCAACGAACCACACGAATATAGCAGTCGCGTAACATGTTGCGTTCGTCGTCGAGTGTGTACAGGAAACACAAACGGGTCGGCCTTGACCTCAAAGGACAGCGTCTCGTACACATAGTCGTGCGTAATGATATTGTCGGCATAAAAAACGGAGTGTTGCGCTCGATGCACCGGCCACGAAAACCAAAAAACCCACACGTGCATTTACAATGTTACAATGTGTTTCGAGTATTTTTCATTTTTTAATTGTATTCGTCGTCGCCACGGATAATGGTCGTCGTGTCATTGTAGGAATGCGGTTTCACGTGTTTTAAACGCGTCAAAGCCGAGGCGCATCGTCATGAAAAAAACATTACGAAACCGACGCGGACGGCGGCGGTTTAATTGCGGCCGGACGCGCGCGTTCACCTAATTGGTTGAGGGTGGGGGGAAAAATAATAGAAATGCTGCTATATTATACTATAATGGGGGTTAAAAAAAAAAAAAAACAAAAAATCCGACGGGCATTCGACGTTTTATTATAACTCCGCTCCCCGTCGACGCCGACCCGGTTATTAAATACAATTCACAATTAAGTCGATGTCGGCGGCGGCGTCTACTAAGCGACGCAATCTATACGGCCGCCGAAAAAACCACCCACGAAATCCTCGGGTATAAAAAAAAAAAAAATTATTTATACAAAACGCGTCGCGCTGTATATATGAATCCCCGTGATTTATTACGAAGTTTTATTCGATTACCCGCCGGCGCGGGCCCGTAATGTTATAATCTCTTTCTAGCCGCGTGCTCAACACACACACACACACGCACATACACATACACAAACACGCATTAACGAACCTACCCGTATACCAGTCATCGGGGGGGNGGGGGGGGGGGAGGGTTGAAGGAGATGGGCCGAGGAAGATTTGTTATCGTTTTTTTTTTTTTTTTTCAAATCCGGTTTAGGAGCGCGTAACAGCTCTGCGCGACGTATTTATTATGGGTATTGTCTTGTATGATATATTGCGGTAATTTTTTTTTCCGCCGCATTTTGCTCTTTATCGATTTTCCGTGTACGCGGGCGCGGAGTAGATAACGGACGCGACTCTGCCGGTCGGATTGTTTGTACACGCGCGACGCGCCTCGATTGTCGCCGGAGCCGAGTCCACGATTTATACGACCCGAATTTATAACGGCAACACTTGACTAGCACAACTGCTTTAAAGCGACAATCTTTTGATTTTTTCAGCCGTTTTCATCGAAAAACGAGAATTACCGGGAAAACTTACGAAATAATATAGGTATTAGTAAAACAAATATTACGTGTTTATTTTGTCCTGTGAACAACTTTAACCTAACCTAAACGTAGGAAAAACGGGAAAATAAGTAAAATGTTAAACAAATATTATTGAAAAAAATATATAATGCAAACTATTTTACCATAATATAACACGGTATAAACTGTTGCCAAAGCACCACTGTCAACCGAACTTTGCTCAGAGACGATTGTTAGATTGTTATCTTAAGACGTATCTTTTTGAACCGTAATCATTTATAGAACAGGGGTGGTACATACGTCTGTAATACTGATTCTGTACACCATGTCTGTGTGATCTATATTTTATACAGTAATAGTTATTTGATCAATAAACAATATTGCATATCTAAGGAAAAATAAAATGACAATTGTTTAATTTAAATAATCATTTCTATAATTATAATTTTAAAAATACGGAATATAAAGCAGGTAACATGAAAACAATAAGTCCTTATCGGTTTGTCAAAAATAAAATAAGTATTTCCGACGTACCATCAAAAAAGTAGCTGGTGTTGTATCGGTAAATTACTAACAGATAGGCGGTTTCTTATTTATCAGAAACTCGTGCGATGAATAGCCTTTCGTAGGTTTGGTAGGTTTGTCTATTCAAACGATTGTTATTCGATATACCGGTTTTATTCGGTTTTTACGGTATGTTCGAACAATTTTCTCGAAAAAAGTATTCGGTCATAGGAAAAAATATTCTCGTGAATTATTCGATAGTCCATTGAAACTGTCGAAAACCCGATTGTATAAACTATTCGATAGTGCCCATCACTAGTTCCAAGATATTGATATTGATGAGTGACTGACATAAATACAGAATTAAGGTGGCGATAGTATTGTATATAGTTATAAGGCGAAGATGAAGTATGAACCGCCATGATAGTAGTTAGTAGTTACTAGTGGATGGTTTCAAATTCTGAGTGGAGCGAAGAAACTTATGGTTTTACATTTTTCTGCCAGAATACACGCTCAGATTTTTAAGTGTAGCACTTTTTTTTTGAAGGAAATCGATGTGGAGAGGTACTTTAGGGAGGTCATTTTTCAATTTTATCAGAAGTTTTCTCATCAAATTTGAATAACTGAAAGAAAAACTTGGGAAATCCGAGACAATTTACGAAATAAGTTACTTAAACATTACGATATATGTTTCTCGCGCACAACTTTTCAAACAGCAATTTCGCTTGATAATTATAGCAATTTTTCTAAAAGGAAATTTCACAAGAAAAGTACTTTAAAGAGGTCATTATTCGATTTTTTCAAGAGTTTCCTCAGCAAATGTGAAAAACTGGGATTAAACATGGGAAAATCGAGAAAAACGCAGGAAAACTGGAAAAATCGGTAAAACATTAAAAAAACATTACTAAAGAAAATATATGGAGCCTATTTAATTCTTATTTTGCTATAATAGTTTGGTACACTACTATGTATAATTTTACATATTAGATATTATTTAAAAAGCATCACTATCCGTTGAATTTTACTCAGAATCGTTTTTTCGTAAGCAACGGTTTATCGTGGCTCACAAGAATACGTTAAATTACCTATAACAGTAGCTGCAACCGTTCCCATTATCCTAGGACGTCTTTTTAAATACATATTACGTAATTTTCTGACTTTGTTCTTTGTCTCAACCAGTGGAGTTACACACGTCGTATTACCTATACATAACGTATTATGTACCTGATAATATTGTTCACGACTATTGTCATACAGGATATACGGCAGACCCGGCCGTATCAACAAATTCCCATCACCTGTGCATCATGGACAAAAATAGAGTATCGAGTACACGCCATATACCCCCGTATACCATTGAAACCGCCACCGTTACTGTCCGTTTTTTAAGTTTTCAATCGTATAATCGTAAAATAAACGTTAAATTTATATTCAAACAATAAGCTAATTTGATTTCAATATTTGTTCGTATGCTAATATAAATAAATGCATTGTTATTAGTATAATTTGAATTGTATTATGAACATTTCAAAACACGAACTGTTATGAAAGCTTGCTGTTTCGGTTAGGTCAGGTTGTCGCCGTTCGGGGGTTATAGACAGATTACGATGTCATTATAGTATGTAACGGACAATGTGTATGTTTTTTTTTTTTTTTTTTAAATTAACTTAACCATAAGTACAAATTGACTAAAATAATTAAAATTGACATTTCAAAACCGGGGGCCGACATCGCGTAGCCAGCCTAACTGACTTTGTCCCGTCGACATATGACTTATATTGGCACGGTTTTGCAGCCCCATCGACCAATGCGGGGCGTCAGCTTCGCGGATACGTCAGAAGATGTAGTTATTGTCAACCTAACATTTTAGGAGAATAGTTATTTATCGTATTTATTAATTTACCTGTATCGCAACTAGAGAAGCCGATTTTCCGGCGTCCTAGGGCGTTTGAAAAACTTTTTCGCGGTTACACAATGTATTACATCGTAATACCAGAATGTTTTTGAATCGACGTTTTGACATGGTGGCGCCGGGGCACCATGCACCTTCATTGTTAACCGTTAGCCAATTGTTTTTGTACATATTTTGAAACTTTCGTGCCGACCTAAATTGTTCCGACAATCAGAGTATTTACCAGTATCGGGACAGCAGGGCCCGGATCGCCGAACACTCTGTGACACGTACCATAATCTCTCTCTCATATAGAACACAGTGCGCCGTTCAATTTTACATTGCGCGCACTAAATTGATTTTATTATTATTATTATTATTTTTTTTTTTTGGGTATATATTGGCCGCGCGCAGGTTAGGTCAGGTAACGCTGGTAACGGCGTTCGGGTGTTATCGGCGCGCCTTTTTTAATCGACAGCAGCGACGACCGATCCGCCCGTCAACAATTATAATATTATTGTCATTTTATATTGGTTTTTCGCTATCCGCGACAATGGAATACATTTGTCCGCAAATCGAACAGCTGATATCGTGTTACACGTGCGGCTCGCAATCGCTGCCGCCGTTTCAGCTGTGCGAGGCCGCGCACGTCAACTGCCCGCCGTGCGCGAAATACATGGCGCGGTGCGCGTGCGGCGACGTGATCACCGACGGGCCGCACGTGCTGTTGGACTGGACGGTGACCGCGCTGAAGTTCAGGTGCAAGCACTGCGGCGCGGCGGACGCCGGCGACGACGGCCGCCCCGCGAACCGGTGGTACGCGGTCCACGAGCTACACCGGCACTACCGGTCCGAGTGCACGCGGAACGCGTACCCGTGCCCGTGGGCCGGTTGCGACTACGTGGCCCGCGTCGAAACCGCGGCCGACCACTATGACGCGGCGCACGGCCCGATCGATGTGCTGACGCCCACCGACCCGGACCGGTGGTACGAGGTCCAGTTCGCAATATCGCCGTAAGTATTAACATCCGTGCGTTCCCGAGTCATCCGTCTACTGGCGTAGCGGACTATTGTACGGCGGGTTGACAGGGATTTAGGAACGCGTTCAAAGCGCTTGTTGGTTAGCACACGTGACCACAATTGTTACTATCTTGTCAACTTGTCCGTATCTACTGTGAAGTAAGCGTTGACTCTGTAGAGTGAAGTCAGCGCGTCTAACGCCGTACATACAATGTACGCACACAAACACAATCTCTGTGAATAAACAGGATTTACGTTTTTCTTTTAAATACGTGTGCGCGTTAATTACTTCTAACTTCTAAAATATTAACGCACACGCGAGAAGTACACTAGAAAGATAAATAAACGAAAAGCTAACTTAATCGCTTAATTGACTTTATCGAATAATCATATCGGTATCGATACCGACGGGCGTTCCCGAGTAACTGACTTCTGAACCTGTAACCGAATTTTCAGAAAACCTAAACGATACTTATAAATATTTATGAAAATATATTTTACACAAATCAGTTCACTCTCCACGCGAAATTATGGTGAAATTCGAAAAAATAACGCGTTGTCCGAAAACTTGTCGGGAAACGTTCGGGATTCACTTTTTTAATTTCAAAAACGAAATAAATACGTAATTTACGCCACCGATTTGTTAGAATCAACATGCGTATCGCGATATACGTAATATTGTGCATATCAATTGTCATTAGGTACTTTTTAATTTATAATAATTACGGACTAGTCCCCGAGGATATTTACGGTCGCGCTACTGCGAACCGGCAAACGAATACTGTTAAAGTGCCTGTGTATGATGGCGGTTCATTGCCGTCGATCGATTTGAATAGCGCGTAAATCAGTGATATTGCGATAGTTTGCTGTTTTAGATTCTGCGTGGAACGAGGGAATGCACTGGTCTTATAACGATATTTATTTTTTTTTTCCGTAGACAACTTTTCTACCAGCAATTTTGCTCGTAAACGATGGTGCATTTTCTAAAAGGAAATCAGCTGACCGGGGAATTAGGTGGCTAGGTACTTTTTTTAAAGAAGGTCATTTTTTTTTTTTTTTTTTGATTTTCCCCTAGAGTTTTCCTAACACGGTGAAAAACCGGGATGAAACACGGGAAAACCGGCGAATCGCAGGAAAACAGGGAAATTCGGCACAACATTAAACAAATATTATTAAATAAAATGCATGAAGCATATTTAATTATTATTTTACTATTAATAATATGACATATTACAAATTGTTGATAAAGCAGCATCATTATCAACTGAAATTCGCTAAAAACCGTTTTTTCGTAAAGCGATGGTTTATTTCATTGCTCACGGGTATACATTAAGTTACCTATAGCAGTGGCTGCACCCGTCCCCGTTATCATAGGACGTCTTTTTTTTTTTTTCAACTCACTTTTCAGTTCTTCTAAATCCTTACGGCAAACGTCATATTTTAAGTGAATCGTCAACAAGATAACAAAATAATACTATAATATTTCAAATCGGTTCACTACACGTTCGCCAAACCGATTTCATACACAATGTATATGTTTGTCATTTAGAAGTTTTACAGGCACGATTAACTCTAATCAATCAATAAAAATTATAATTATTTTATAGATATTGGAATAAAAAAGTTTAATACACACGAACACAAAACTAAACACTCGATACGCATAACAAGATACGCATTCGTAGTATAAATAAGTCTCTAGATTTTTGTTGCAGACAAAGATGAACTTTATCCGTTGAACGATAAACATACGATAAGACGAATTATTTATGGAATTGTCACATGCAACAGTATTATAATATACTCTTATATTTGTTTATGTTGTTGTGCATAGTTAACGAATATTTACCACCGATAATAATATTTTTAGTTATAACAGTTAACGTTTTGAGGACACGGTATTTTTGTACATTTAAGTCAACGTATCTCATCAACAGTAGAAGATATTAAAAACTTGTTGAATTATAATTTATAGACAATTTTGTTATGTTTGAAACATATAGCATAAATAATTTCGATTTACCGAACGGTTTGTCAAATATTTGAAGAAACATAAAAAAATTCTCATAAATATTGCAAAATTGAACTTATTCAAACTTCAAGTTTCATTCGGCACGAGTTAACCTTGTTTGATTAACTCAAAATTGTTCGTTTTTATATGCATACATACACACGTTTTTAGGGGGCGAGTCTAAAAATGTTGATAAATAATTTGAATGGTTTATTTAATTTAATTTAATTAGAAGATTGTTCAACCGTCTGGCAGTGACAACTGTTGTATTAAATTACGATAATCAATATAAGTTTCAAGAAGTTCAGATATAAGAAATTGATAGAAATCCTATGATTTTCATAAATTTCTTTTGATTAGTTGGTTATAAATTTAAGAGACTTGAAACCCGATATGATACATTTAAAAATAGCCGGATACAAATAGACAATCAATCAATTGTTTTCAATCAGTTCGATAACGTAATATAATTTTTAAATACTGAACGCTGTACTATATAAGTTAAATCGCTGAATCGTTAAATCTACGGTTTATCTCGTATCGTTTGCTCTGAAATCGATGAAATACAACCTAATGCGTTTTATATGATGCGTTGTCCTCTTTTTTAATGAATTTTAGTGTGTTGAAATTCCGGCAGCACTTTTATTGCTATTTTATTTTATATACATCGTTGTTAAATTAATAAATAATATTTCGTTGACCGTTGTATTTACCAGGGGGGTTGGAATTCCAGGGGGGGGGAGGGTAGGGAAATTCGCTCCCCTGGAATGTATTCGAAACCGATTTGTTTTAAAACCGTTTCACGCCACCGTACGAACGTACTTAGCGGGACGTTCCGTAAACCGGTTACGTTCGCCGTATACACGGTCGTGGGCATTGCGGAAAATCCTGCGGGAATGCGTTTCCGAGGCGTTAATTATGAAGACTACGACAACGGACGGTGACTATAACAATAATGTGTTTTCTGCACAGTATGCCGGCCGAATTCGTTAAAAAAATATTCAACGGCTATTTTATGTTCACCGTGAAGTATCCGTCGTCGCACCGCCGCAGAAACCGAGACTCGAATCCGTGTATCACCATGCGTAACATCAATCCGGCGGACCAATTGCAGTACACGCACGACTGGGAGTTGTACACGAACGGAAACGTCATCACGGTCACTGTGTCGATGACCACAGGGCTCGACGACAACTCATGATCTCCACCACCTTTGTCATATCACGGCGGCGGCGGATAATTGTAATAAAATATAATTAAATTACCATGTCGACAAATGCCTCCAAATATCCACTGTGGTCGTGGCTATCTGCCGTTATCGTTTCTTTTTGAAAACATACTCTCTCGTCGATTTAAAATCATTTTTTCCGAGACCGAGTTTTTACTAATAGTCGGTTAACCAACCATCGACTTTGATCAAATCGACCATAACGATAATTGGACGACTGTCTGAAAATAAAATATTGTAAACGACTATTCGAAATTGATATTTCGATTAGCTTTTTCCGTAATAGATAAAATGTTATTCAATATCGGTCCAAACATTTTACCAAATCGTCATAAACCCTTCAACGCCTTGCTCCCCTTTATAAGTAATAAATATTTAGTTTTATTGCACCCTATATAATGTGTCTAGTCACATACCTAGTACCTAGTACCTAGTGTCTATCACCTAGCGTACCAATACGGTGCCATATTTTTTCTCGGAAACCATATTTTAAAACATTTTAAAAATTATTTTATTCTATTCTTGCGTGTTCTCATATATACTAATCTATTTTTTAAATTTTTTAAAAAAACAACATTTTAACTAAAATTGATAAATTTATCTATCAGTGCCTAAAATCACTATCAAAATTGTTTGCAAGAGAAAAAATGAAATCGAGACTTAATCGAAAAATCGAAATTTCAACTTTCAAATTTTAACTGAGCCATATTGTTTTTTTCAATAATACAAATAATTAAAAACAAGTTTACTATTGTTTAAAAATCTGATAATTTTAAATAAAACGGGTTAAATTTAAACGCTGAATATAAATACATTTTTGCTTATAATGAACGCAATTTGTGATGTTCCATATTTCAATAGTTCTATTGTTTTATAAAAATTCTTGAAACAGCGGAAAGTTTGCATAGGACTTTAGGAGGTTTTTTTTAAATGCAGTAGTCCAATCAAAATAAGAAGTGAAAAGTTTAAATTTAGTTGAAAATAGTCCTTTAGTATAGAATTCATATATTGCTTTTCTAATGCTATTTATTTTTTTTTCCGTGAACAACTTTTCTTCAGAATGTTTCTCCAGTTTAAAAGCGTAGGTTTTGTATTTAATGCAAATTTGACCGTGGTGGTACTTTAGGGAGGAAGTTTTTTAATTTTTCCAGGATTATTCATAAAAAAAAAATGGGAAAAATCGGGAAAAAACGTAGGAAAAATGGGCAAAATCGTAAATATTTACGGCCATTCAAAATATGTAAGACCGAACTCCACTCAGAATTGTTTTCCTTTAGCAATTATTGTTTGTCGCATACAGATATACGTGATATTTTCCCTCTACCTTCCCAAGTTCTCACCTACAACAGAGATCCAATTTAATTACTTGATCAGTTTAAGTATTATAACTTTAATTGTGCACCTTTTACTGTATCGGAGCGAGATTTCTGGTAGAAAAATTGCGCACAGATCTTTGTAAAACCGCAAGTTTCTGCGCTCCACTCAGAATCTAAAATATAATAAGGATAATAATGTTCAATTTTTTTTTTTTTTGTTTTTATAAATAATATTGCATTATTTATTTCTAAAAATCGCATCAGCTCACTGTAACACGTTTTAGATTTTTCGCGCGGATATTAAACGTAACACCGAACCAAAGTTTCGGATACCCGTACGTCGGTTATTGTTCGAGACGGAAAATTCCGAAAGAAATACGAACAAATTGTCGTCGCGTAAATAATATTACGGACGACGAAGAAAAAAAGATCGAGTGATAAGATAAATAGTAAACATTATGTCTCTCTAATCTCGTCCCCTCGTAAATACGCCGCTGCGCCGAAGAGCGTGGACGCGTCACATTTTATATTATGTGTCGTCGTCGGCGACGGACGGGTAGATTAAATTTTAGGCGTCGTTCGGGCGGCGATATTATGTCGGGTACGCGAAGAAAAAAAAAACCGTCTCACGCGTTTCCGTCGCGCAGTGATAACAATAAGTAGTAATTTATTACGCTCGTACGGTCGGACGACCGGTATTATTATATATAATACGAGTACGCTCTCTCGACGCCGGGTGGAAGTGGCGAGGGGGGGGTCTGACGTTGTCGGGCACGTTGAAACGTTGTAAATGTTTTTTACGGGGGCCCGGGGATTTCGATGGAAAAAAGATAAAAGGGAAAGACGGAATCGTTACGTTTTTTTTTTTTTTTTGTTCCGCGGGTTTTGTGTTATTCGTGGTTATAATGCGGGCCGGGTATATGTGGAGGACGGTACTCGGCGAGAGGGCGAGACCGACGCCACCTGCGGGTGTTCTCTCGGCGTCGTTGTATTGTATACCGTCTGGGTAGGTAGATAGGCAGGTAGATAGATAGATAGGTAGGTAGGTAGGTAGGTAGGTAGGTGGATACGATCGGAACATAATACATTTTAGGCGTCCGGGGGTTGATCGGTAATACCCATCTCCGACCGGTATACCAATTATTATTGTACAACATCACGTGGGCATTATTATTGTAATGAGACGGCGGCAACGATTTCATTATTGTAACGATAATGCCGTAGACGTGTTTCGGGGAAAAGAAACAAAGAAAAAGGCGGGAAAAAACGGCCGGCTCGCTCTCGAACGACCCCGCCGACGTCCGGATCGCTTGTCGAGCCCTCCTTGTCCTTGTACGCATTATTTTTATATTTTCGATTCGGCAACCGTCGAATCGTGAACATTGAAATATATTCTATAAAGCTCGTATCGCGCAAAGTTCTTTGATGTTTTTCAAATAAACTTATCTCGTTTAGTTTTCATTGTACACACGTTGATTGATGCAGACTTGCGGTGAATTTTCGGTTTTTGTTTTTAGGATGTTTTCTTCGCGTCGCTCGGACTCGTGAAACCGAAATCGCCATCGCCTTTTTCGTTTCAATCGTACGTTTTCATTAAAACCTACTATATTTATTGTCTTCGAAAAATTTTGTCGTTACCGAGTCGTAATTGACAAAACGTGTCCACGGTGCCACTTCTTGCTAGCCATGGCACCGATTATTATATTGAAAATAATAGCTTCTTCATTCAGTATCACCGAGCTCTCGGTTTTCACACGGTTTTATAGGATATTTATGAAAAAAAAAAAAAAAAAAAACAAACGACGAACAAAATTAAAAAAAGTCGACAAATTCAATGGCTGTAGTCTGAAACGTTTATTGCACGATCGAAACATTATCAATAAAATAATATTTTAATTTATTTTCATTTATATGGTCAGTTGTATTTCTTTTAAAATATCTTATAGGAAAAAAAAAATGTAAATAAAAAATATCTTGGACTTGTATAGAAAATATAATCTATTATGTCTTTTATACATTTTCATATAACTAAACTATAATATTTGTTGGTAGACTAAATTATCCGTTCTTTGGTAATGCGCACATGTGCACAAAGTGTTTGCCGAGCTTACTCGAGAACACGCGACATAAAATTGGCCATTGGCGAAGCACGGATCTGTGCTTATCGATGCCAGTAATATTTAATGTTGGGCGTTGTTAGTTGTCATCGCGAAACAGAGCTTAACGGGAAATTGAAGGCGTTTGAATTCGGACGGATAGTCTCACTTGTGTCATCACTGGAATTTTCGGAATATAAACAATGTCATCTACGGCACAGCCAGTCGGAATTTTCCCCTCAACGACATCGTTTTTTTTTTTAAAGATTTTACTAGTAGCTACTTGTGCCATTGCATAATTTTTGCGCATTCAAATTCATACTGCCAATAGAAACATGGGGATCATCTGCCTGCATATTCGATTGAAGCGTCGTACCTAAATGCGGACATTTCTTTACACCGCCGTGAAGACCGCGGTAAACCGTCGGGTTCCCCGTTGGCATTCCTCGAAACCCGAGTGAAGCGCAAAATTCTTTGGTGGGGACAATTTCCCGAAATCAACGTAGCGATTGTCGTTCGGAATAAAATTGTTTAATATAGACCGAATAAACAAATTTGTGTTTGTGGACTGAACCCCCGGTGTACGTATTGTCGGTGCGTGCGCGAAGCCCGAGGTTATTTGCATCGATAAACTTCTCGGAACGCGCTCGCCGATAGACCGCGCAATAGGAAAACTGTAACGGGTTGCGGGTAACCGGAAACCCGCGGGGCCGCACAATGTGCACGCGTGTGTATTTACGGGTATACAATTTATACAATTTACAGGCTTATTTCAATCGGTATACAACTCGGAGGTTTTTTAACTTGGACAAATGCTGCTGTATTGCGATAGAAGCCCTCGCCGTGTGATATAATCTTTCGTTTAGAAAAAAAAAAAACAAAATCAAGAAGATCTGATAAGTAGTTCCGGAGTTTACCTGTACACGGATTAACATTTCACATTTATACAGTTAGATCGTTGACAACATGAACTACAACATGTATGCATTTAAAATTGAGAAACCCTCTCTCTTATTTGCTATCATTTTCTCGGGTGTTTGGCAGTTAAGATTGTTGTTTTTTTAATAATTTACAATTCCTTAGCAGTTTTTTTGTGTGTGTGTGTGTGTGTGTGTGTATTTTGGACAGTAGATAAAAATCCTTCGAACAGCCACGGGAAATGAATAGGGTATAGTGGGAGCAATTCAAATTGGGACAGATTTAATCGAAAATCATGTATAATATCATGCATTATTTTTTTTCAAAATATTTTATCACAACTGTGACGTGTTTATTACGCATTGGTTCGGAAACACGAAAATGGGGCAATTGTAAATGCGATGTGCATAGTTTACACTTGACTCTTAAAATGATCATGAATGATCGTTTTATTTCATATTGCACTCTATTTACATAGACCTCCGAAAAAGTTAAGACAATTTTTTTTTGTTTTTATGAGCCTTTATGAGTCTTCATGAATTGTGCATATTGAATTCAAAATAGAAAAATATTTTTTTCTGTGAAATAGTATAACCGATAATTACGTGTATGTGATTTAACGCAAATTTGTTTTCCTTATAAGCATTGGAAGTTGCGTAAGCCTCCTCACTTGTTAGGAATACACTTTAAAAGCGGAAAAATAATGAAAAACTTGGTTTTTTTTACCGAAAGATTTGTTTCGATTCTGACTTTTGAGAAGAATATATATTCGTTTTACAAGGATATGTTTATTTATTTTTTTTTTTTATTCGAATACTTTTCGAACTGGAAAGCTTGCATACGATAGCTTGTACGAAAGATAATGTTCTCGGGGTGATACTTTAAGGAGGTCACTTTTCGATTTTCCCAAGAGTTTTCCCATCAAATGTGAAAAACCGGGAAAAAAGAAGAAAAACGGGCAAATGTAAAAGGACAGCGTTTTTTTCATAACTCTACGAGAATCGTTAACGCCGGTATAAGAAGTGTGTGTCGATCGTAAAACCACGGTTAAGATAGAGGGGGCGCAAAAATTAAAAAAGAAAAAAAAAAATAACTTGTCCATTGGGTTAGAAACCGACGGACTCCACCGCGGCTACCAACGGAACGGCAATGTTTAGTCTCGTTTGACGAAGTGATGTATCTAAAAACGTATAGCGTTTAATACGTGTACATGTTTACGGATCACCGCGGGGGATTCGGTTCGCGTCCGTGCTCGTTTCCAGCAGGGAACGTTAATACGCTCACGGGCCGCCCAACGGACGAACGGGCACGGTTGGGCGGGGAAGACGGAGGCGGCGGCGGCGTGGGCCGTGACTAGATTTTATTCGCTTCTAGAACCCGGGCGTATCGGATAAGAGGAAAAAACGGATAACGGAATCGGTCGAGTGATTGCGCGGCACTGGCGTCCGGCACTGGCGTCATTACGGCCGCGTAGCGCGAGTGTGACGGAACGTCGTCGTCGGTTTTCGTTTTTTCCGTTTGTTCCCGCCGATCTTCTCGTCGACCCGTCAGGTCACTGCCTGCCGTTCGGATGTTACCGCGGTACCAACGGAAACGACATTACAACCGCGGACGGTCGACAGCAATGTCCACGATCAACGTGCGGTTCGACGAGGACACGACGCTGCGGTTCGTCAAGCTGTACCGCGACCAAAGGCTGTTGTGGGACAAAGGCCACGAATCGTACAACAAGCGCGCGGACCGGTTGAACGCGTACCGGCGCATCGTCGACGAAATGGCGATCGATAAGCTGGGCGTGTCCGAGGTGGTGTCCAAGATAAAAAGTATCCGGTCCACGTACCAGCAAGAGGTGCAGAAAATCAGGGCCTCGGCACAGTCCGACAAACGAGACGCGGACGCCGCGTCGCCGTACGTGCCGAGAGTGCAGTGGTTCCCGATCATGGATGCGATGATCGGCGGCTCGGAGGTCGACCGCTTTTGTCCGTCACCGTCGGCCGACGGAAAAACGGTGAGTAGATTTTTACCCGTTAACGCGTATTTACTAATGTAACGCGCGGTGGCCGTCTCGCCGTTTGCGCGGTCCGTTTCCGGTGTAAATCAACGAAATCGAACGGCGGTATGGACGAGCGGAGTCCGAGTTCCGCTCGATTTCGGCATTAATGGAAATATGTACCCGTATAAGGACAACGGCGGTCGCGGGAAGGGGGCCGTTCAATGTCACGACGTTTGAAGGACGGCAGTTGTCAGCGGCGGTTGTCTGATTTTAAATCCGTCTGTCAATTTCAATCGTTTCAAATTGTTCTTCGTACCTACTGATATCCCTGTGTTCGTTCCCGTTTTATTTTACCGGTTATTAAAAATGTATCGCTAAGAATATTATTTCATTGGCGTTCTGAGACGTTTGTGGTGATAATCCACTTTTTCAAGACAATAGGACTGCAGTGTTGTAATTGTTCTATCACATCCAAGTACTCGTTACCGCGGTCAGTTGTTCCGAGGGTAAAGCGACTTCAGAGTTTCTCCGGTGCAGTTCTCGCTATCGTCGCGAACCAAAACAGTAGATTGGTTTAAATCCTATATCACAAGTGTCGATATTTACTCGTTTGACGGTCCGGAGAATCGAAAATCGAAAATGTCTGTTGCGTGCGCCAAGCCTTTGCGTGACGTATAGAACAAAGTATTAAGTATTATGTACGGCCTTTGCGTGACGTATAGAACAAAGTATTAAGTATTAAGTACGGCCCCCGCCTTAACTGAACAGTACTCGTTATCGTCGTAATTTAGTGTTAAGAGTACGAAAACCGAGAGTAGGTAATCCGTGTTGGTACGTCGCCGCGCACATGCGAGTAACATTCCCTTGGCCATCCGGTTAGTAAAGCTGAGTAAAGCAAAACCGGAGGTTTTGAGGTTCGTTCAAATACTCGCCACGGCAGTAAGTATGCGTCCAAGAACCGTGTAAACGACGCTTTCGACCGCATTATTTTTGTGAATCGGTCAATTGGTTTTCAATTAAATTCGTATAAAAACGTATTATTATTATACATTACAAGGACTAACCGTCTAAAAAATGGTTTACGTTCGTTTTGTACGGATTGTATATGTGTGTGTGTTTTTGCGCGCGCGCGCGTGTATGTGTGCAGGGGTGCCAATGGAATGATTTGGATGGTCTGATAAATTTGTTCTTCTCTATCGTTGGTCCATCAGTATATATAACCGGTATAGGTTCCTGGATATTCGACCGCGTCCCTTTGAATTATTTTTCGATGTTTTTAAAATTTTACAACGTGTATAACAAGAGAAAAAAAAAATGCATTTAAACAAAAATGTTTATATCATTGAATCTCTTTATTTTTCGATTCAATCAATTGTTCGATGTATACAATTTACATATGTAAATATTGTATAATATGTACAATGTAGTACACATTATATTATTATGCGTGTATAGAAAAAGAGATCCTTTCGTCTTCAACCTTGAGTCACATATTTTCACGTTACGTCGTAATATCGTAGGTTACTATTTATAATCATTCTAAATTGCTGTACAGAATATCGGGAATATCTATGCCAGACGCGGATCAAGCCTTTAATTTGGAGAGGGGGAAGGCAATAAATCGTTTATAACAATGAAAGTCGATTTTTCAAACATCGATCTAAATATGAGTTATTGAAGGTTTGAGGCCCGTAAGTGCGGGACATGTGTATGTGTGTGTGTGTGTGTGTGTGTGTATGTGTATTTGTGTGTAGTTCGAACAATGCCAATCTAATATCATTCGCTAAATTATACATAATATTAACACACGCCCCTGTTATTTATTTATTTATTTATTGATACGGACAAAAGTCCAATTCACAATATATTTGTATAGATAACAATAATATAATACAATTTAAAATAATAAAATATAACATAATAAAAAATGAAAAGATTAATATATCGAATAATAATAATAATAATAATAATAAAAATACATTCAATGTTTAATAAAATAATTAACTATTTCCCGAAGACATTAAAATATGTATGGGGTCGTATGACGTAAACTCTTTAGATGAATGAGGAATATAAAATAAATGATTGTTACGAGTGTGGTGGCTTTTTAACTTTGAAGTTTAATTGACTCAATAAAAATGAATCATCAATCTCATTATTTAGCAATTTGGTGAGGAACGTACTGTATGATAAGTGTCTCCGTACATTTAAAGATTCTAAGTTTAACAATTTTAAAATATTATCGTAGCCAGAGTGAGGAGTTCTTTGAATATTACATGTATGACATAAAAATCTGAGAGCTTTATTTTGAACTTTATCAAGTTGATCATTATGTCCTACATTGTTATGATTCCAAATTATTGGAGCGTATTCTAATAAAGAACGGACTAGTGAGGTATAAAGGCATTTGAGAGCAAGTGGATCACGAAAATCGGAGCAGTTTCTTTATATCATACCAAATACAGATAAAGCTTTATTTTTAATCGCTGATACACGATCATTGAATAATAGTTTGGAATCAAATAAAATCCCTAAATCCTTAAATAATGACGAACGATGTAGGTTAATATCACATATATGATAATTAAAATGTAAGGGATTGTGTTATTTTGGAGTAGATAACAATTTGGGATTTATCAATATTTAATGAAAGACTATTTGAAATGCACCATTCGTTAAATGAAACTAAATCACTTTGAAGAAGTTTAATATCATCGGGGGAAGTAATAGATTTGTAAATTTTTGCATCGTCGGCAAATAATAAAATGTTGGAGTGTGAAATGGATGATACGGCATCATTTATAAATAAATTANACTTAGGAATGAGTTAAACCATGATAATAGGGGATTGGAAAAGCCGATTTTCTGTAGTTTACTGATTAATAAAGAGTGGTTTACTCTATCAAAGGTTTTTTCAAAATCTGTATAAACAACATCTGTTTGTTGATTATTAGAAAAAGATTTAATTATATGATGTTAAATTAGTAAGACATTACTTTTTATTGCGAAATCCATGTCGTTGTGGTGCTAAAATATGTTTAAATATGGGTGTGAGCTTATTATTTATTATCTTAGAAAATAATTTTGGGAGAATAGAAATTATCGATATAGGACGGTAGTTTGAGATAAATGATTTATTACCTTTTTTTAAAAATTGAATTAATATAGGTGGATTTCCAAGATGATGGAAATGAGCCACTATTTAAACAAAAATTAAAGAGATATGTGATAGGTGGTGAAAGTATAAATCTGCAGTTAAATAAAAATATAGGAGACCATCAGGACCAATTGCATTTTTGTAAGATAGAATATTTAATTCATTGAAAACTTCTAGGAGTTCGATGTGATGTGAGTTTAACGAACCAATTGATTGAACTATATTAGACTGAAAATTATTATTAGTAAGAGCTGTATCTTTATAAACTGAAGAGAAGTATTGACTAAATAAGATACCAATTTTTTGACCATTATCAGCTGACTTATGGTTGAATGACATTGTGTTAGGAAGACCGGATGATTTTTTAATATTTTCAATAAAAGACCAAAATTTCTTAGGCTGGGATCTAAAAGATTTTTGAATATTAATTAAGTATTGGCAGTTATCAAATCTACTTAAGGATTTACATTTAGCACGTGTGGAAGATAATTGTTGGTAATCATCATGCGAGTTAGATAACTTAAATATTGAATGTTAGAATTTTTTTAATTTGATTAGATTTATTAAGTCTTTAGGGAACCAACAGGGGAATTTAGATTTTCAGTTTCTTTTTTTAGGAATAAAAGTGTTAATTGCATAGAATAAGAGGGAATAAAATTCTTTTATGTACTTATATTTCATAAATTCGACCTCTATAAACGTGTCTATCCATAATTTCCGCGGTCGAGTAAGTCCCCGCTCGGACTCGTAAAAGATACTCCTTTAAAGTAAATAGATTAATCGAATCAATACTTTTAAATGTTAAATCCATTAAAATTTGAATTTCTATTGCGGATATGTTCGATTATTTTTCTTGTCTATATTACGGTAATCAAAAAATTTCAAAAATTATAAAAACGTTTAAAATAAAAAATCGATTTCAAGTATAAACGCTTTTGAAAAATATTCAAAGTACAACACCAGTTCATCTTCTATGTAAAACATATATCCGTATTTGAATATTGAAAAAGATTCGAATATTTGTGTTTCAATACCTTCCTCGGAATACTTTACAAGCCTGCTCTTATTCTTCACCGGACTAGTCCGGATTACTCCGTTGCTCAGTGATGGCGGTGCGTGCAGACGTCACGTTTGGGGGTCGAATGAAAATTGGGGGCTTACTCGGTGGCTGTGAAAGGATAGACAGCGTATAATATACATGAGCTGTTAACACTAGAACGTAGCCGTTAATATCTAATATTAAATATGTAGTTTTCTACAAGTTTTCTACTTGTTAAAATAATATTTAACAGAAGAAAGTACGAATCATTCTTCCAAGTGTCGTCAATATAATATGGATAAATCGTGTAATTCAATAGCTTTTATTCGTCTAATGAACTCCACGCAAAATAACGACAGAGATTATACTTATGAAGTTTGTTTGTTTTTTTTTCCCCAGCTAACAGACTGTGCCAACATGGAAGAAGTACCTTACAACTGTACCAGCACATATAACGGCGGTGACCACACGTACAGCACCGGGGAAATACAACAGCGGCGCCAGTCTTCCGAACACTCGTCACTCGTGATTCAAGAACACCATCAGTCGTCAATCGAACTTTTCTCTAAGTACATAGCCAGGTCGTTGGAGACGTTACCGCGGTCTTTGGCCGTACTAGCCCAAAAAGAAATGCACGACATACTGGTTGATTACAAAATAACGGCATTCAACGAAAAATATTAAAAGAGCTCAAGAGGATAATTCAACCCAACCCGGATTAGGGAGGAGGGTTCAAAATAAAGGTCCCTTACGTGGACTTACACTATTGCTTGTTTATTATATAGGAAATAAGTAAAATGTATAATACGTATACATTTTACATATTATACCAATGAATGATATCATTGAAACATACTCTTCTATGTAAAACCGGATTTTATGTTTTGTATAATAAACTTATAGCATTTATAATTAAATAGAAATGTCTTATTTTATGTACAAAAATGTTTTATTTTGCAAATACGAAAAAGAGCCTAATTTCTGTGTTCTATCAATAAAATTGTTGTAGTTGTAACGTAAGCAACTGTTTTCATAATAATTCGGAAAAACTTGGGAAAACGTATAGGAAAAACGGTTAATTATTTACGGCTGTACAAATGGACTGTTGTAGTTGAATCTTTAACCACTGTATAGCAGCACCTGACGGTCTCTCGTCACAACGCCGTCGCTCGGTAACGGTTGCGAAACGTATCTACGATACGAAAACAAAAATAACATTTTTTCACAGAACCGATACTACATAATACATGCAATATTAAAAGTTATCGTGTTTGTGCACTATAAATACAATTTTTTTTTTTTCGACATTTATTAGAATGTATACAATCTGTAATAAATTTTCCTGTGTGTAATGTGTGGGTAAATTTTGTAAAATATTATAGCAATTTTTAACTATTTGTTATTGATATTTCTTAATTTTTTTTTTAACTTTTATTTGGTAGAAATTATATAAGAACACATATATTTGGACTAAAAAGAATTGTGTGAAAATTGATCTCAAGGATCATTGTTAGATGCACTAAGTGGTTAAAAAAAAATAAATAATAAATTTGGATGTAATCTCGTATTATTTTTTTTAATAAGCGTTTTAGGATTAAACTTTAGACGAAAATATTAACATTACGACATTTCGGAACATGTAAAACGGGCCTTGAAACGCAGTAAAACCGGGAAATTTTATGGTGGAAATAACAGTTTCATTATTTTCGATTTTACTTTTTGTTGTAATTCGATTAAAAATAATTTTGTTAAATTAACAAGAGTATAAATAAAAATAAAATATTCAGTAAAATATTAATTGAAAATAACGAGCTGATACTGCAGATAGGCGTGTTAAAACTATATGGGAAATATGGGAAGATAGGACACATCATAAATTTGTTTAAATTACATCTGTAAGCAACGATAAAATTATTGCAAATGAAAAACTGTTCTGAGCGATGTTCGTTTATACAGAATTTGAAAATCGATAATATTTACGGTTTTCATCAAAATTTATTATTAAAACCGTTATACTCTCGAAATGACTCTTTGAATGTACTACAACCTGTCTTTCGTGCCATGTAATTATCGCCATCAAATTCACTTGTGTTGTAACATATTGTAAAGCTACAACTACGAAGTAAAAGAAAAAAAAGGAGAAAACCACATTACACGTCTTTACTTTTTTCATTTCTTTTTTTATCACTTAATACAATTTATAATAGACTTCCTATTTAATTTTCAAACTTGGTTCGGTAAAACGATTATAATCCGCACAGTAGGCGAATCTAGGAAAATCTACGTAAAAAATCGTAAAAATAAAACGTTCATTTTATAGCTCGAAAATTGGGAAAAATTGTTTAGTTTGAAACGCTGAAGAATTTTCAAAGTAAATAATTGTTCATGTTATTTATTACAGATAAATGCATGATTCTTTGTACAACGGCGAATGTTAAAACGTCAAAAATATTTTATTTTAAATTTAACGATACGCTATATAGGAGGCAATTCACCACGTATTATAAACCCGCTAATGGTTTTCTCTTGTAAATTCCTCGTGTACATTATGGATAATATACATTATGATAGTCTCGGCGTATACGACACGCGGAGGACCGGGACAATAGGTAGCCGTCATTATAATGCGGTTAATAAGTTTTCGGCGATGAGGTGGTGGCGGTCGTGGTGGTCGTGTGTTCTTTATGGGGTCTACAACCACGGACACTACAGTGTAATGGAATGCGATGGGTAATAATGAAAAACTCGCAGGTAGGCGAGTTTTATTACCGGGTCATTATCAAAAAATACCTACAGGTACTTACGACTGTGAAATCCGGACATTTGGCTAGAGGTAAATAGCTAAGCTATTATTGATTATTTTACAGGCATCGATTTTAATCGGGGAGAGTCATCAGATATTAGTGTATAATAAAATGACGAGTAAGTACGAGTCCGAAAAACGATTATATTCGTAAATACGCTGCTGTACACGTGTGCATAACAAAGTGTCCGACATACTATCGGAAAAAAAAAAAAAAAAAAAATGAAAAAAAGAGATGTCAGTTAAAAATATTCATTGACACTTAAAATTTTGACATAATACCTATAACGGTCTTTTACAGGCGCGTTTTTTTAACGATTGGGCTCTCATATATATATATATATATATATACTATTTCATATCGTTCTCCTAAAGAAAACCATAAATACGTCTCTGATTGCAGCCAATATTTTCTATTGTCAATGTGAACGATAATTATCGACTGATCGGGAATAATATTATGGTATCTACGTTATGGGAATTCGTAAATCTCTGCTGCATATCTATCCACGTATTTGTTTATTTGTAAATAAAACATAACACGGGCTTGAAAATGAATAAATAAATTAAACTGTTTCCGTACATATCCCAAACGTAATTTTTAAAGGCTCGGGAATACAACTTTCCTAACACGTATAATTTCTATACAGACCAGAAATCGGACTGAAAACTCCCCGGGGCGAAACTTGCTCGGTCAAAAATGCTCTCAAGACCGATTTTTTTCTGTTCCTTACCCGGGGCCTTATTCTTTCCCTATTTTTTTTTGTATAACCGAACTCCGCTCAGAATCGTTTTTCGTTGCGTACAGATATACATTCAATTCCACTCTATGTACCGCCTCACCAATTTCTCACCGACAACAGTGGCCGCCCGCCCACCTCACAAAGCGCGTCCGTATTTTTTTTTTAAGTTTTTACAGTCGGTTGGGTGGCCACGTGTGCCACAGCTCCAATAGTTTTAAAACATTTTAAGTTTATCGTCGAACGGCAACGGCGCGCCCCGTGTATGTGAATATATATCCATACACGCAGCCTCGTCGAAACCACAAAATTGTTCGTCCAATGATCGTATTTTAATAGTGTCATGCACAAGACGGTTTGTGAGACGAAGGAGGCGGGGGAGGGGGAGGGGGGTCACGAGCCCATCGCGTGTTACTGAACGAACATCCGCGGCACAGGAATGCGGAATTAATTTAACGAAAACGAAAATTTAACGAAACCCAACAGTGATAATTCGTTGATTCATTATGATAATTAATTTTTTTTTTTTTTTTTTTTTTTCGAACGCGCCTACCAGCAGCCCATAGCTTTATCGATCGACACGATCTTTCCGGAATGTCCATGTTAAAATAATGTCAGGCGTGCGACCGTTTTAAACGCGCCCCGCGTCGGACGTTAATAATTATAGGTTCGAATATCGTGTAGACCGGTTTCGTCGTTTTTTAGTGGTGTGTGCCGCGGCCGTCGCGTAATAAAAACGAATCTTTATCGGCCGACGTCGGGGTATTCGTCGGTATTAGTACACGGACGTTTCTAATTTATTACGACTTTATAATCTCCGAGACGCGACGGTTATTTATCACATTCTGTCTCTCTCGCCCGCTCTCTTTTCTCATTATATTTTTCCCAAAGATTACGAAATCGTATTTATGAATACAGGTATCTCGTAAAATATTATGTTTACAAACTGGAGTTTCACTGTTTGTCGGTGCGTGAATTTATACTCCGAAACCATCGCTCGCGGGCCGGGTAAGTTAGTGAATACCTGATAATATCAACCCAGGTAAATCGAGTTAATTGAAACCAAGTTGATGCAATAAAAGTTAATTGGTCCATTAATTCACCGAGTAAAATTAAAAGTTAATTTGAAAATTGAATCTCAACGTACCTTTAAACTGAAGTGAAGGATTTTTTTTTTTTTTTTAAATATAAAATGTTTAAGTGGAGAATATTAAAACCTAGTGACTCTGTGATTTATTAAAAATAGGAATAATCAATGTAAGGGTTTATTCCGGTAATATCAAATTAAACATTTTACGATAATTGCGTGATCCGCAGCTATTATTAAGAAAGAGCGAAAAAAAAGAGCTGTGGACGGGTGTGAAACTGTTGTAGACGGAGAGTTTGAATAGTAGGTTACATAAAGTTGTTCAATGATAATCGTGAAAATTTGATTTTAAAACACTAATAAAAAACAGCCCTAAATTTTCAAATACATTTCGAATACAAATTCAATAATAATTTTTCTATTAACATTTTTTAGAATGTTTAGTTTTTGAATTTCAAGAAACTAGTTGTGTTAATATGTTACGTTATGGTAATTTTTTTCGCCCTTATTTTCGTGGTTGAACACTAGTCGGTTCACCTCCACTATAGGTTGCAGAAACAATTCACTATTAAAACAAATCAAATATTGCCCGGGCTATTCGCGAAAAAAAACACCGTGCAGTCGGGCACATGTCCGAATGAGGGTTTTAGGAGTTTCCACCCATTCCCCTAAAAGTTTCGTGAAAATTACGACGAAAGTAGAGTTTTAATAGAGTCTTAAAAGTGATTTCTGTCAACGTGGAAGATAAATACAATTTTGGTGTTATTTTTAATATCATTACTAGATTATATAGTTATGTATATTGTTATTATTGTCATTTATAATTTTTTTGTTGTTTTCCTGCTTTTAGAAAATTTAGTAATAGGTATCTGTAAGGTTCGAAACGAATGTGATAAAATATTGACATTTTTAATGAAAAATAAATAATCCTACAGTTGAAAGTATGTTAACTGTTTTGTTATAAGAGTACGGTGAAAGTGTATGATAACTTAACTACGATAACCTTAACTCCTAGCGCCCCCCCCCACCTCCCGAAATATTTTTCCGTAAACAC